GTGAAGTTCACAGTTCAGGTTTTTGATCAGATGCCAACAAAATCCTTATCCTCTGTTATTATGAGGTAAGTACCACAAAGAAACATCTTCTCAATGAAGCGACTATCAATGAAGCGAGAACCCAATTCAAATAATTGTGTGTAATTGTGAAACAACTAGCTTTTCTACAATTCCAATTATATTTGCTCCTTTTGTGATTTTATTCTAAGCATAATTCGATTTAGATAACTCTTTTCATAAATTGAATGAGCATATCAAAAACTAACTGCATATCTTAAAGGTGACTAGAGGACGAAATGAGCATGGAACCTAGCTAAAATTTTAGACCTGTTAAAGTCTGGTGCTGAAAAACAGTATGACGCTATAGCAAAAATGCAGACCTAAATTGATGAACTTGGAAATATTGGCAGAAAACGTTATCCTAGTTCTAAACAAGCATGCACTACTTATTTTTTTCTCTCTTCTTTTCTGAGAAGCTGTTAGCCACCAATTTGAATTGGCGTCAAGAAGCAGAAAAAAAAACATACGGATCCATTACTAACCTCCTAAGAGAGGCCATTAAAATCTTCTTTCTATTTGTTGTAGAAGGTATTTAGTCAATGTTTTTTGTTTAATTTGTAAAAAAATTGTATTATATGCTTTTCAGATAAACCTTTGTAAAAAGGAGTTTCTTACTACCATCATGCGTCCAATTAAAGCACAAGAATCACTGAAAATCCCAGATGATGGTAAGTCCTGTTTTTTTTGTTTGCACGACTAACTTTTGGTTTTTTGTGTTTAGTTACAGTATCGGTACGTGGCCGTGTTGTTCAAGTAGCGGGAAAACGTGGAAAATTAGTTCGAAGTTTTAGACATGCCCGTGTCGATATACATAAACCGTCAAAAAATCAGATTGTTGTCGAAAAATGGTTTGGTACAAATAAGGAAAATGCTGTTGTTCGAACAATATGTTCACACATCAATAACATGATTAAAGGAGTGACAAAAGTAGGTTAGAACTTTCCTACGAAATTGGCTGAAAGTTTTTTTCCAATTATTTTCATTTGAGCAAAGGAAAAGTTATCTTCCCAAAAAGAAATTATATTTACAAAATTGCTGAGCGCAGTTTTTTACTTTACTTTTAGGGTTTTTGTTATAAAATGCGCTCAGTTTATGCTCATTTTCCAATTAATACTGTTGTTGCCGATAGTGGTCAAGCAGTAGAAATTCGAAATTTTTTGGGCGAAAAATTTGTTCGTCGAGTTCAAATGAGACCAGGTGTAAAAGTATCAACTAGTACAAAACAAAAAGATGAATTGATACTTGAAGGAAATGATATTGAACTTGTATCAAGATCAGGTAGTTTTGAGTAAACTCTCATATTCGACAATTGTTCTTTATTTCACTTTCCCTTTTTATTTTAGCTGCACTTATTCAACAATCAACAACCGTCAAAGATAAAGATATCCGAAAGTTTTTAGATGGTATTTATGTTTCAGAAAAAATACCATGTGATGAAATATAAAAACAAACAGTCAACAAACGCTTAGTTGGAATATGAAGAAATTTGTATTTGAAAATTTACAACAACAGCATATGTTTGTTTTTTCATTTATTTAAATCATGTATACCGTTTTATATTATTTCCGTGTGTTGCAGTTGCAGTTGTTATTGATTATATAATATTAAAGGAAAAAAATAGCGATACATATTAATATCCTTTGCAATCATTCTGATACTTGGATTTGGAAAGTGGCACAAAATACGAAGCTTTCAACTTAAAATAAACAGAATCAGCTAAGAATGCAGAAAGAGATTTGCCCCTGTGTTATTTAGTAGTTATGCTAAAGAGAACACGTTCAATACCTACCTGATCGTATAATCGTTTATACTTGTTTTGTTTGTTGTGCAATAGCGTGAGATAACGATGATTGTGTTCCATCTATTGGAAAAAAGTAAGAACTAGTACTGTAGTATGCATAATATTTTATACTGGCTTTGTGGTTACAGTCTATTCGTCATACATTCGAACGACGAATTTATTGATAGTCCGCGTTATCCTCAGTGCCAGAAGATGTACTAAAAGAAAAAACTTTGCTTTTATTATTAAAAAATGTTAAATTTCTTTTGTTTTCTAGATCATGTTATTTCGTTAACGGATCATCAAAACACTGAATAATTCAAAATTCTGAAAGATTTAAGAACTATTTCTAGATAAATAATGATTTTCAGTGTATTCATCATGTAACTGGTTTTTAAACAGATCCTTTTCTTTTACTAATTACCTCGCTTTTTTATTTGGCTTATCCTAGAAAATAAAAACATTATTGGAACTCCATAGACCTACTCTCGTCTTTGCTACTTCAGCTGGTAGATGAATAATTATGCACATTTTGTTCACAGTCCATGGTATTATCATTCAATCTGCATATGTATAGACCTAGTTCAAAAAAGATCATTTTTAAATTGGTTAATAGTCACTATATGATTGAACACACAATTAATGCTGTTAAATGATGCAATCATCAAACTTCCGACACGACTACTATTCTTCTTCTACGTAAGCTCACATCAAGTAATGACTTAGATTTCGAAAGTCAAAACGTTCATTTGATAACACATATTTTATTGCTAATTGTTTTTTTTCTAAAAGTTGAAAAGTTACAATCTGTTCTGATTTTATACTAGTGATTCCGATCAGGAGATGAGCCAGCTACCTCTAGATTTTCACTTTTCATCAATATTTTTTTCAAAATTCTTTCCGCCATGAAAAAATGTCAAGTCCAAACCTTTCTTTTGTGTTAGTAGAGAAAGATTTGCCCGAGCGTCAAAAACATCTGGGTTGTCCCACGGGCTCAAACAGACTGTAGCGTATAGGTTAAAAAGACTTTTTTCTCCGTTGTTCATCACTTTCCATAGAATCTTCTTTTACTTCTTTCCGCCACAGTTTTAACCCCACTGACCGAAAAATAATCGGTATCTCTGATTGATAAATATAGTGATAAATTTGACTAATTGACAGTCCTTATTTTGTTGATAAACAAGTTTGGATTTTGATCACTGATCGTTAAAATACAGTATAATGTAAGATTCAGACATAAAGAGTAGGCATCATCTTACAATGAGTTATTGTGAATGTTCCAATGAAGAAACTCAAAAGGAAATTTTGATTTATTCCAAAAAACGATAGTTTATTTAGCTTTCTTACTTAATTTTTGTCAGAATGCTATTCCCTCGTTTCTGTCTCTGTGGTTTTCACAAGTGAAGCGTGACTATAGCATGACATCGAACATATGTTCTATTAGCGTTTCTATTAACCTTTTCTTCGCATATTGTAAACAATATGCTATGTTTCTTGTTGTACTCATCTCTAAATCGTTGGCGGATGCTGTGAAATTATGACCATTATCTAATATATAAATATTTAGCTATGATCTAAACGTACGAGAATACACGAAGTAAAATGTATCCTGTGTTTTCACAAGAACTAGAATTGGTCTAGCAAGTAGCAAACATTAAATTTTTAATTTCTTTATGTGATCATCGATGAAACTTTCTAGGAAGATTTTGCACAATATTTAAATACTTTTTGATGGTTTAGAGTAATCGTTTGATAATCTAATAGTATATCGTATAAATTCTGACAGTGAAAAAACAAATTCCAATTGTCAAACTTGTTTCTATAGGTTGCTGCTCACTCGTAGAGCATAGCCTTTCTTGAAAATTATTTTCATGTATTTGATCTCTATTTCAGGTAGTCACTCTTGTCTGATTAATCATCAACTTAATAGAATGTTATAGTCTATTGAATTTATTGTATTTTATCTATAATGAACATGCAGTATATTTAATAATTCTAACGAAACCACGATAATAATGAGTAAAACTGATATATCAAGTTTAAACGAAAATGATGAAGCAAGACTGAGAGATTTATTTAGAAAACTTGACAAAAATAACGACAATCAGATCGATGTCGATGAGTTACTACAAGTTTTAGAACAAGTTGGTGTACCATCGCCTTCAAAGAGATCAATAATTGCAAGGGTAAGTGAGAGAGAGGGACGAACTCTATGGATAATGTTAATATTCATGGTTTTTTCCTCTTCTTTTTAGAAAATTCTTGAACAAGGTGGAAGCCGACATACAAAATCATTAACATTCCAACAGTTCGTTGATTATATATTCACTCAAGAACATAAACTCAGACTTGTATTTAAAGGATTAGATAAGAGTCATCATGGTGAATACTCTTTTCTTCTCAGTAGTATTTCTTGAACAAGATGATTTGTCTTTTTATTTTAGGTAGATTTGATGCATCTGATTTAGTACATTATTTTGAAAAACTTGGTTTGTCTCTTGATATTGATGAGGCCAAAAAATTGGTACAAAAGTGCGTCTTTTTCATTCGCAATCTTGCTGTATAAAAGAAAATGAGGTTGTTGTTTATTTTTTGTAGAATGGATAGTGATAAATCATTGGAGATAACATGGGATGAATGGAGAGCGTTCATGTTATTTACACCATCGTTGGAAGCACACGACATGTTGCAGTACTGGAGACATGCGTCGGTAAATGAGAACGTGTGGTACTATGGACTCATTAATTGGTATTCATGTGTTTCTATCTTTTAGCATTTAGATTTAGGCGAAATTAACTTGTTTCCTGATGATACCGGTATCGAACAGGGAAAATGGTGGATGAATCTTGTGGCTGGTGCTTTTGCTGGAGCAATATCTCGGACTGTTACCGCTCCATTCGATCGTTTAAAAATTATCATGCAGGTAGCTTATGTTCTAAATTGCGCAACAGCTTTTTGTGTTAAAAATTTCTGGATTTTTTGAAAATTTTTATATCAAGATTACAGTAATATTGAAAAATTACTAAATTAACTCACTTTCAAACGAAAAATTGTTTTTATCAAAGTCTACAACATACGGATTTGAAATTAACCAAATGTTTTTCCTTTTCATTCCATATTATGTTTACTTCGGAATTTATGAAGAATTCGTTAGCTTTTAGTATCTTGGCTCACGTTCAAAAATATCAGTATTTGGTGGATATCGATATTTGATTAAAGAAGGTGGTGTGTTGAGTTTATGGCGTGGAAATGGTATGAATGTTATTAAAATTGTGCCAGAAACTGCTTTAAGATTTGCCTGTTATGAAGAAGTAAATGATACAATACATATTTGATAACATATTTAGATATTTTTTATTTTAGTCCAAAAAATTTTTAAAAACAATACAAGGCAAAGACTTGAACTCTGAAACAACAATTCCTGAAAGATTTTTATCCGGAAGTATAGCTGGCTTTTTGTCTCAAACTGTCATTTATCCACTTGATGTAATTTCTTTTTCTGGAAATGAAAAACATGTTGTAGTATCTCTTATATTCAGGTACTTAAAGTTCGTCTTTGTTTACAACGAACAGGAGAATACGCAAACTGGTTTGATGCTGTTAAACGGATTTATCGTACAGAGGGTCGAGGTGCTTTTTGGAGAGGATATTTATTAAATCAAATTGGAATTATACCGTATGCTGGTTTTGATTTAGCGTGTTATGAAGTGAGGCATTTGAAAATATTTCTGTTTGTATAATATTTCCTTTTACTTTTTCTTTCTAGAGTTTAAAACGTTTATGGATACAGACACATGATAATCGAGAACCACCAACGCTGATTGTTTTATCATGCGGTGCAACCAGTTCATTCACCGGACAATTAGTTACGTATCCAATAGCGTTAATTCGCACAAGGTTACAAGGCCACGGTACGTTCATGAGTTGTCATCGCAAATGAATATCATAAAAGTAATTTCTTTTAGCTGTTCTATTAAAACGTGATGCAAAAGAAGTTGTGCCTGTTGGTCAGATGTTTCGAGAAGGTAACATTCGAGAAGTTGTTTGATGTATCCACTGTCAGTATTCTTCGTCTAATTTTCTTTCCAGTAACGTATGTATCATTTCTGAATATTCTAGTGTGGAAAAATGAAGGCATCGTCGGATTCTATCGTGGTTTAGTTCCAAACGTGTTCAAAGTTGTACCAGCCGTATCAATTAGTTATCTTGTCTACGAAACAGCTATGAAAGTAATATCACGAAATGTACATTCCAATAAAAATGTAGCATGATTCAACAGTGTGTTTGTTTTCAAAACATGGCATATTTTTCTACGATTATTTGTTGTTTTGTTATTCTCGCACAGTATTAGGCAATTTCTTTCCATTGACATGTATGACAGCTAGCTTATGCATGATACGTTCTCATTTTATATAACAATTATTTTTGTTGTTAAGTTATTTTTCTTTTCTGTTCTAGAAAAGTTCTATTTTCACTTTTATGTGTGTGTGTGTTATTCACAAGCTGATTTTTGACAACACGTATGATTTTGTTTTGTAGATTTTTCGCAAAGTTTCGCTAAATAAAATGCAATCATACTCGCACTGTCTGAAAACAGATAATTGTTATTTTTTAAGATAACAAAAAAATACATATTTTTGATTTTTGTCTTTTTTGCAAAACCTCTCTTGACACTTTGTTATTTGGTGATTTTGCTTTTAAAATGCATACATTTTCGTTTTATACATTTTTTTTGCTTTCTAGAAGAAAACACAAAACATTAAAATAGCAAGCACAGTTTTTACTCATGGTATTAATAACTGTCAGCGAAGAAAAATGTAAACGGACGGCAATAATGTGTTTGATATTGATGAGCAGGTCCAAGGTTTTGCTTTCCAATGTTTCGAACGGAGGCTTAAATGAAACAGTTTAACGAGCTAAATTATTGAAGAATGTTTGTCTTGTTCTTAAATTTAAGATTTAACTAAGTGTTTTTTTGTACATCTAACACATGTCTTGCCACATTCAGAGAAATAGGCGGATCAGAGACATTAAAGTCTTTTGAAAATACCATTTGGTTGTAGAACAATGTAACGTTCTGTACCATAGATTTTTCGCTGTAAATTCTAAAAATGTTACGGAATTTATTTACACTGCAATAATAGCAGTTAATGTTCGACAACAAAGTGTTTTTTATCATATTATATATATAATCAACAAACTAATTTTAGTCAAAGTATCGATCGACATTTGTATTTTTAACATAATTTTATTTTAATTTAATTTATGGAATTGATTAGAAGAGGAATCTGTATTTTAAATATTTATACATTTTTATCCTCTATTATTTATTATTTTAATTTTAGTCAACAAGATATGAAATTAAATCAACAGATAAGACAATAAAATCAGAATAAGCAAAGTACTCAATCTTTAAAATTATTTGACAAAGAGCTGGTAAAAGAATTAAAATCGGGTTTGTTTAAATTATCTGTCGATCGAATACTGTGTACTATTGTAAATATTTTGGAAAAAGAGGGAACATAAAATGGTAAATCCTAATACTGCTATATAAACGCATTTATTGAACATTTACGAAAGATGTGACGGTCTCACAACAGCTGATCAACTGTTAAAACAAATGAAAAAAGTGTGATTTTAATCATTACATGTCCATGATGTAAAGTAATGATGCATGTAATGTTTTGAAAAAACGTAGAAATCGATCATGGCGTGAAATAAATCCTTAAATGGTAAAGTAAATAAGAAATCTCTACTATCACACATAGGCAATGATTAACTGTGACATTATCATTAAGAAAAGTATTTTATTATTAAATTTCCTCAGAATGTTATAAATTTACCAGCATGATTTCATTTTGCGAAATATTCACCAGTATCACTTTTAAAATCAATGAATACTCTTGTCGTAGTTATTAATGATGTCCAAATGTTTATCACATTATGATCCTTCTTCTTTTTTTTTTTAATAAGATGGAGCGTCGTCTTTTGTTACAATTATAATCGTTTTGTACACTGAAAATATCAAACACAGCTTCTTTTTAGTCTTTCTCGGAAATAGAAATGGATGAGTGCGTAGACATAATTTTATTTTCCTTTTTTGATTTGATAAATTTACATCTCTAAAACGAATAGATGAGCTCGTCTCGTTCTAAAAGCAGATGCCTCTAATATCGTATTCAACATTCATTAGTTAGGAAAAGCTTGTAAAAAAACGTTCTAACACACTTATCTATTTATGTTACATATGTCGTTGGTTTCAGATCACTAATGATATCAACATCAAGTTATATTTTTCCATTAAAAAAAGCAATTCACAACGTTCAATATTCATTTGTTCGATATTCTCGTCCGTTTAAAAAGAAATGGGTATGTGTATAAGAATTAATTATAGTTTTAATGTTAATCACTAATCGATTTATGAATTTAGGGTTTTTCTACTCATCATGGTTCTCATTCAAATGAAATAGCTTTAGAATATTTTGATTTTGCTTATCCACTTATATTTCATCGTCATTGGCCATCAATTCGTCTAGCTCTTCTATCAACACCAAAACCTATTGCATTAATTAATCCCTATTCAGTTAATGAAAATGTGAAAGAAAATTTAAAAGTAAATGGTGCTCTTGATATGTTACGTTTCTCGAATGAAAAATTAATTAATGAACATCATCAAATACAATTAAAAATCGCTGAAAATGATCAGGAATATAAAAAAAGAAAAATGTTAGAACAACAGAAATTATTAGAAAATAGTGAAAATGAAAATGTTATAATAGAAGACGAAAAAGAGACAATTAAACAACAAAATCAAATAAAACAAACAGATATTGATTTTGAAGAAGATCTTCTTCAATTTAACCAACCTGAACCAGCATTAAGATTAGATGAAATATATAATCAAGCACTAGAAGAACAAATGAAAATTAATATAAAAGGAAATGTTGTTCCGATTATTGAAAATGACAAAGGTAGGTAAAATTTATGTGTCTTTGTTTACATAAAAATTCCAGGTAGAGGTATGTAGTAGAATTTCTCGGATGAGGTACCAGTACAATATTCAATCAGAAAAAGTATGTCGAAGACTGTGTCTCGATAGCTCAGAGGTAGAGCATTGGTCTTGATAACCGATGTCCTGCGTTCGATTCCCAGTCGAGACATGCTTTTTTCGATTTATATTTAGCTACTATAAAAACTTTCATAGTAAAAAAAAGTTCTTGTTCATTCTCAAATTTAATTAAATAGGTAAAATTTACTTCATTACCAGTATTAGAACGGTAAATTGAGTTATTCATAAATAAAAAGACTGAGAAAAAAATGCATTTTGATTTATGATTTTATGTTTCTCATACATACCATCATATATGAAATTGAATAAATGCTAGAATATAAAGTTTTGAAAACAAGTCACTGAACATACGCTCATTATGCTATTTGTTCAACAGATGATTTTCAACATAAATTAGTTTTGTGAAAACTTATTTTAATACAATAACATGAATTATTAAGAAAAGCGAACGTTTTTGTGAATATCAAAACTAAAGCTAATCTTGCATAACTATATATTATATTGTTGTTGTTTTTTATATCTCGTCTATAGAAATTTTGATTCCACCAAGTTTACATGCATATGCGTATCCTCGAAGTGATGTAACAAAATTTGAACCGTCAAAGATAGATCAGTTAGGTTTATTGGGTGCGTAATTCAACGATAAAATAAATTTTAATTTATTAGTCTATTTTATTTGATTCTTTAGTTTAGATTATTACTGTATGGATGGTGCATGTGTACTTCCAGTATTAGCACTTGATGTACAACCATTTCAAAATGTTTTGGATATTTGTGCTGCACCTGGAGGAAAAGCATTAAACATATTTTTTTTTTGTCCATATCGTAAGTAAAATAAAATTTTACATAGTCATAAACGAGAAATGTTGATTTTATTTTCTCTTATTCTCTCTAATAGTCAATTTAACATGTAATGATTTATCATATTCACGTTGGAAACGTTTACATGAAGTATTTAAATTGACATTACCAAAAGATGTATTAGAAAAAGTCAAGTTTTCGAAACGAGATGCTCGAGCATTTGGCACTGATTTACCAAATACATTTGATCGAGTATGAAAAAAAAGACTTGACAAATAAAATACTTAATTAATTATGATTTTCTTTTATTAAAATAGGTTTTAGTCGACGTTCCATGTACAACGGATCGACATGCACTTTTAACGGAATTCAATATATTTTCAAAGAGACGAATTAAAGAACGTGTTGATCTTCCAGAATATCAACGAGCAATATTAGAGTAAGAAAATAGAAATAATGTAGATGATGTTACATAAAATGAATACTTACTTCTAGATCGGCAATCAAAACATGTAAACCCGGTGGTGTTATCGTCTATTCAACGTGTTCACTAGCTCCAGCACAAAATGATGGTGTAGTAGAACGTGCGATTGAAAATGTTTATGCTAAAAAACGTATTAAATGTCAAATAATTTCAACAAAAAATATCGAAAAACGTTATTCATATTTTTTTGAATTTTATCAACATTCACGTTACGGTACACTAGTATTACCACATATTTCAAATAATTTTGGACCACTATATTTTGTTAAAATTAGACGAATTAGTTAACTTTTCGTATTGTTCTATTGTTATTGATTTTTGTATTTTTTCTTTCCTCGCGAAGAAATGGTAGACATTTTTCACAGATGTTCTAAAGTATGAATAGGATTATTATTCTCAAATAGATCAATATCTATCCTCTGTCGAAACAAATTGGTTAATCACAAGACTCTAAATACTTTAGAAACTTCAGTTGGATAATAATTAAAAAGTATTTCATCTCTCTAGTTAGTTTATAGTCTTTCTTAAAATAGTTTATTAGATCATATTCACTTCTTCCTCTTGATATTTTCCAAAATAACTTGATGTGACTGCTAACATTAAAAAGACAACGATCATATATTTTTGAGGCATCAGGCATTGTGATGTCTATGAAACGATCGAATACCTTGGTTATTCACTAAATATTTATTAGTTTCACCTCTGTACTTTGATAAAGTTCACTTGATCACAATTTTTTAAACTCATTCTCTAAAGTGTTATACATATTAACGATATAAAAGAGATCTGTCGTTCATTCAACTCACTATTTTTATTAATTTTGAACATATTTTCTATAATTAGTGTCGACTCTCATTTTTTAGTATTTTAGTTTTTATTTGTGTTTAACGTCTTGAATGTTCGTTCGCTAGCTTTATGAAAGAAAAAAATATTCAATTCATAAGAAAAATAAATTATCGATACACGGTCAATACAGTTGATATCTGCTATTAACTTGAATAAACAATAAGTTACCTACGTATTTCTTAATAGCGATACTTGACCAGAAAATTTTTATACTAAAAACAAAACAGAGAGAAAGAGAGAGAGAAAGAAAAAGAGAAGAGAGATTTACAATGTTAAGTATATGTATTCACCGATGCGCACTCATACTCGTTCAAAATCATAATAATCATAAGTAAAGAGAGAAGAAAAATGTTAATCTTTTGTTCTTCGTTGTGGGAGAGATCGATTAGAAGAAAAAACAATAGATAGATCCCGTTCTATATTAACAAAAAAAAAAAATAAAGAAGGTTGTACAAGTCGTTCAATCATACTGTACGTAAACTTCAAAAATAAGTTTGAGAAAACTAGCAGTGATGAAAATTTTTTTAGTTTGATTCATAGACGTAATGGTATTCTTGAAACTTTTCATTCATATTCAGTAGATTTAGCTAATACTCGTTCTGTCGATAAAAGAGTTTTTTTTTTTTCGAAATGTCGAGAATGATGAGATAAATTTGTCACAATTTCAATGATCAATTTTATCTTCATTGTCTAATGTAGTTACGTACTGCACGATTCGTTCGTTATTATATTGAATGTTCGAAAATTTTTTTTTGAACATACAAATTTATATATCGTTTTGGTTCAGTTCTTCTCCATTCATCCTCAGATAATTGTATGTATTGTACACTCTATTTACCCTGTAGGGGTAAGATGATCGTCATCTGACTCAGCTTAACGATGAGTAATACCCAAACATTTATAGTCCACATTTTATAGACAGACAGAAATGAGCAATACTTATATAGGAAACAAACATATGACTAAGAAAGAAATAATATTCCATTTTTTTTCTTCCGTTCTGCTATCAGACCGGTAGTGATTTATATAAGAAAAAAAGAAAGAATCCCGTCAAGTCTTTTTACCAGTTGTTCTATTTTTGTACCAAAAGAGGGAATAAAAACAAAACAAAAAATAATAACAACTCTTCTAATTTTTAAAATATATTACCCTTCAATTAAGAACAACAAATACTGATTAGAAAACTTTTAATGTCAGTAATAGAAGTGTTTAATGATGATTGATCATTTTAACAATAGAAACAAAATTCGATTATTTTAAAAATAACAAAATACGTTGTATATTATACACAGGTAAGTTACAGGACAGACGGAAACAGCATATTCTCTTAAGTGTGCAAATTTACTTAAGATGTATAAGTACTTTATAACATACATGAGTTAACTTACGGGCTTGAGACTTTAGTTAAGACATTTTGGTAACAAGTTCGTTTTATCCTATTTCGTTTCAAATTTTTACCGTCACGTTAGAACCTTTGATTTCTGTAAGTACGAATCCTTTGCACGGTGTAGAAAAAAAGATTTCTGGACTTAAGACTGCACATTAACAATAGTATCCCGATATGATAAAAGGCCAACAGTAGTATTATATTTGAAACAACAGTTGTTTCATGTAGAAGATTTGAAATATTTTTATAAAAAGCCACTTTTTCCCCTGAAACAAGAGGTGTTTCACGAGAACAGAGAAGTTCACTCTTCATACTTTACATATAGTTCTATTGAACGAGGAAGAGGTACTTTTATGCTCTATGCAATAAAAATCAATTGCCGTAGAATAAATCGAAAGCTTCACACCTCCACACGAAGTAACAGACTGTTACATGTGAAGAAGACAAAATATTCTATTTAACATTTTTCTTACCATCGAACATGAATAAAGAGAAGAGCAGAACCTGATATGTCCCTTTTTGTTAACAATCGATTCAAGATAAAATTCAGTTGTAAGGTGAAATTTGACGGAATAGTTTTGAATATTACTTTCCATCCTCCTGTAATAATTTTTCTTCCACTATGAAGTTTAAGATAAAAACACATTTTCATGAAGTTGTGAAGTTTTTAATTGATTATTAAAAAGATAAGTATCAGTTTGTCTGTCACACTTGAGTAATGTATTAATTAGAGATAGGTCTGTTTTTGCTTAACTATAGATCAAAACAGAGATAATACTAAGAAAAAGGAAGAAAGAGGGAGAAGGGATTATTATTGGTATATATATATATATACGCATACGCACATATCACAATTCTTTGAATGATGCGATAAAAAGATAAGACACGAACGTGTATCGATGAAGAAATAAATAGCAGCTCTTTACTAATAAACGGTGCATGTGACGGAAATTTTGTTTTTAGGAAATTAATCATGCTGTTTGAATATGTGTTGATCTTATTGACGACAATTAATTACCATCATCAAGTTCAACCACATCAATTTACATCAGTGATCGATAATTTATTACTTATTGACGGTACACCAACACTTCCATTTGCTCAATTATTTGCTGTATCCGATCGTTATCTATATCAATTACATTGGAATCATTCGCATTATAGTCATAGGCAAAAAACAACAACATTATTGCTTCATCGTCGTGTTCAACTACATTCTTCGATAGTCAATGATAATGATCAACTATCATCTCCGTATATTAGTGTTTTTGTTTTTGATTCTCAAAAAGAACTTTTACTACTATGTGGACGATCAAAAACTGGACGTTGTATATTCTATGATGCAAATGACATAAGTCGAGTTTATTTATTGGATCGAGATTCACCGACAAATTTTCTTGGATGTGCCGATGGATGTTATACATTTTCGAATACAAAAGCAGCTGATATTTTACCAACAATTATCCATTCAGCTATACCAGGTAATTTCTAAAAAGTTTTAATTAATTTGGATGTCTTACTCTAATTTATATTGTTAGGAAATCGTATTGAGAAAAATGGTAACATTATTAGTACAATTATTGATATAAATAAAGGCAGTGTATTTGGTTATAATTTAAATTATCAATTACGATCGAGTGATGATGCCTTGATAACAACATTAAATTTTATACCGGAACGAATGAATGGAATCGATTTGGATTATGTCTATGGTTTTGAATATAAAAATTTTTTATTTTATGTTTTGAAGCGTATCGATTATATTCCAACAGATAGTGGTAATCAAAAGAGTGTGCTGTCGATCAAAACAAAATTAGCACGATTGTGTAGTGCACCTTTAGTAATGCGTTCATCATATTCCGAAATTACGTTAAATTGTACATTAGAAAAATTTCAAACAACAACAACAACGACTGAACCAAAATTGGCTATGTTTGATCATATTCAAAATCAATTGTATATTAGTTATAGTTCTAATCATAATGATACTGCTATATGTTTATACTCAATCCAAGATATAATGAATACATTTTCAAGATCATTTCAAGAATGTCAACAAGGAAAAGGATATCGATTAGCACATATTGTCGATTCGTTAGATGCAAGACCTGAGTGCGAGAAAGTAAGTTATTTTTTAAGTAGTTTTGTTTTTAAATATGAGGTTATATAGAATAGTTGTTTTAAAATATTAATTAATGGGTGTACCACACGAAATAGGTCACTTAGTATTTTGCCAATATCTCAGTCAATTTTCATTGCCAAGACTCAAACTTCTTTTTAAAAGATTCTCTGTTCAATTCTCTATAAAAATTATATTGAACATTTTTTATATATGGTATAAATAAAGGAGTATGTATGAAACACTGTGAAGCATCGGTCTCCATTACTTTGTAGCCTAAAAAATAGTTTTTAAATTTGAGGCCTTTACAATTTGCGATATAAGATAAGAGAAAGTGCCCATTTTGTAGCCCTTGAAAAGCTATCAACTGGTCATATTAAACTTTTCATCATTACGACTGGTTGTGAGATAATGCCTTTTTGTTTATCGACTTTATCAAAAATCATTGGTCTTAAATCCCCGTTTTGGAGCATATGATAAAACTTTTATAAATCGGTTAAAATCGAACATTTTGGAGTTAGGATTGTCTCAACTTAAAACAAAATAATTCTTCTATTGCATCCGAACAGAAAAAATTCAACAGCTGCATTCCTTTTTCTGTGCCGAACACAGTTCGCCCTGAAAAGGGCGAACTAGTCAAAATTTCCCTCTTTTCTGGTGAATTTACCGCCCGTGCCAAAAAAACGTTTTTAGAGCCAACTTATTATAGATGAAAGGAAAGGCGACACTTCGGAGCACCAGAGGATACATTTTGATATTTCTTTTTATGCATAGCACTGTCTTCAAAATAAATGTTTTTACGTCGAATTTTGAGTTACAAAGTAATGGAGACTGGAGCTTTGCAGTGTTTCATCATACTCCTCTCCTTTATTTATACCATGTATAAAAAATGTTCAATATAATTTTTATAGAAAATCGAACGGGAAATCTTTTAAAAAGAAGTTTGAGTCTTGATAATGAAAATTGACAGAGATATTGGCGATATACTAAGTGATCCGTTTCTTCTGGTACATTCGTTAGTTTAAGTTTTTATGAGACAGTCTTTATCATTTGATTATTTTAGTTGCAGACTACTGTTAAAACTGATTCAGATGAGTGCATATGGAAACCATATGAAACAAATCTGTATATGGATGGTTTGATAACACTTTCTTCTGGTGCCGTCTATTATGACGATCAGAATAAGATAAATCTATTATTTGTAAAATCAAATGTTATTGTATTAGGAACAAGCAAGGGTAGTCTGATCAAAGTAAGTATCTATATTGCAATTTGTTTGCTGTACTTTATATAAACGATCAAAAAAGAACCAAAGGCATCTTACAAATTCTAGCTGTATTAAGATCAAAGTGGACTGCCATTATCGAACAAGTTTTTCGATTTTCTAACATTTACACTAATTTTCTGGATAATTTTGTCCTCGAGGATGAACATATTGTTTGAAAAATGAATGCGTAGTATAATCAAAAGAACCGCCTTAGTTGTTGATTCGTAATTCTAAAAGTGTATCCATTTATATTATTCTATTATCGTAAAGCAATCTAAAAAACAACAAATCTCAGTACTGTCTAATTGTTTAAAATTGAATAGCAATTAGTCTTGCTTTGCTACTATTTATCTACGGGCGTCTGGTTATCTGGTTTTACTTTGCAGATGACAGTCTAATCGTAAAATAGAATAAAAAATTTGTATTTTCATTTTAGTTCATACAACAAGATAATAAAATTCATTTAATCCATGAAGCTGTTTATAAAAATGAAACAATAAATTCACAATATGTTGTTGATGAACAAAACCAAGCATTGATATTTGCCATACAAAACGAGGTAAAAACAAATTGTATTATTACGATTAACGGGCAATAATTTCACAATAAAAAGCACGTTAAGAGCAGCATTTTTTAACTTCATTAAAGTATTTTATTTAGTTTAAATTATTTTAAATTATTTTCAAGAATAAAATCACTATGTACATAACTTATGACATAAGTTATGTACATAGTGATTTTATTCTTGAAAATGAACTTTGTATAGTTGAAACGTCGAAAATAATTTAAAACTAAATAAAATACTTTAATAAAGTTAAAAAACGCTGCTCTTATTGTGTTTTATATTTACAAATTACTTGGTTTCATCGCTCTGTCCGCTGAAGCAGAAAACGTGATCATGTAAATTCTTGCTTGAAGAACTAGAGAAATCATGCGAGAATTTGTTTTTACATGTGATATTTTGTTATAACTTACTGATTGCACGCATGAATTCGCTTAACTTCAATTAATTTTAATTGAAGTTTTAATCCCACAATTACTCAGTAATGCAGTTGTGAAAAATTTCACAATTAAACTAATGGTTCACTGCATGAATATTTTACGCGCAAAAAGAAATTCATGCTCCTTTTTGTCCTGCCTCTGTCTGTACGTCTACGCCTATCAACATACTCATTCTTACTTACCTTTCACGCGTGATACGTATTTTTTATGCAGGATTAACAAAATGGATTTTTGTAGATTCGAACTAGGATGCCTTGAATTGCTCGCCCAGCGTTTGAACCATTTGACTTATCTCACAAATAGAGTTAAAGTTGTATTTATATTAATGAAAAAGTCAACTTTGACATTCTTCAATATACTTTCACCATTTTCAGTAATTTAACGCTAAATTAAACAGTATTTATGACTTAAGAGCAGACAAAAACCATTGACTATCTAATTAGCTGACTAATTGTTTCTCGCGCGTGAAAATCAAAACTTATGCATGAATGTCAGATTTGGCAATATTAAGGATCATTTATCATTTGTGCACCATGAAGTTAATTGAATTGACTCTTATAAGTTGTACAAAGAAACTGACGATTGAACAAGAAAAAAAGAGAGAAAAGATAAGATGATTTTGTAGAGGCTCTTTTTTCCTAATATGTTTGGGTTTTTTTAAATAACTGCTTTTACTGAAAGAGAACGGTAATTACATAGATTTATACATGAAAAACATTTTCATTCATGAATTCATTGTTTAATGTGTGTTGTTTTCAAGCGTCAGAACATTATATTATGCAGAAAAATTTTTTGTCCAATGAGTATAATAGATTATATAGTAAAGTTATTAATATTTTTAGCTTCATCATTATTCTTATAATTCATGTTCATTATATGATACATGTCAATCATGTATTGGAAGTAAAAAATTTGATAGAAACAGATGTGTCTGGTGTGATGGAAGATGCACAGATGAAGATCATTGCTCGTCAAAATCAATGAGAAATAGTGGATGTCCTCCAACGATTGAACATGTAAGTAGAAAGAGCTACTATGCAATTATGCAACTACCGATCACTGTGCAAATAGATATAGTATGATCTAAAATTTATCGCTAGGTGTAAGATATAAATGATCATAATCTTTATTTAGAGCATTGTCATAAACGATAACAATCGTTCTATTTTCTTCATTAAGATTAACCCAACCCATGTGAATATAAACAATGAGTATGTTTGGCTACATTTATCTGGCTCATTCCGTCAGATTAAACCTCAAGTAGTATTCGTAACTGTTCAATTTTTGTCGTTGACCGAGAATGAGAGTAATGTTCATTGTACTATTGATAAAATTGAAGATAATAGGTATGTTGTACAATTAAGTGTCTTTATTATTATTGTATAGAAATATTTATGATATTTTAGTCTAACCTGTCTTTTACGTGTACCAAGAAAGACTGGTGATGGTAGTGTGATTGTTACTATAATCCCGGACAAGGCTCCAGTGATTGGTGATACAGTTATATCTGGATCAACACAATTAAAACAAAAGATTACCGTCTATGTACGTAAAATATGTAAGATATATAAATAGAGATAATAACTGTTGGTTTCCTATTCAAATATAGGTTCCAAAACCGCTTTTATCTCCGAACGTGGGACCATTTTCTGGTGGTACACGAATAAAAATAAAAAATTTGGATTTTAATCAGCCGATTGAAACTTCACAACTAAAAGTTTATTTTAATGATAATGAATGCAATATTTCACAGTAAGATTTTGTATAGTTTTTAGTATTATGTATGTACAAGTTTTATTATCTTGTTTTTTTTTAGAGTAACGGATGCTGTTGAATGTATTAATCGAGCATGTTATAATAAAAATACATCTTCAGTTAATCAAAAAGACGGAGAAGAGTTATTGTTAAACATTTTTCTAAAGGGACAAAAGTATCAAATAGAAGATACTTTTTTTACATGTTATGAAGATGCAATAGTTACGGATTGGTATCCAAAAAAAGCGTTTGTCAGGTATTATTCAGTGAATAGTAGACTTGCAAAAGTTGCCAAAGTTTTTCAATTACACTGCTGTTTCTTTAGTGGTGGCGTAAGGCTATCTGTATTTGGTAAAAATCTGCACATTATTGAAACACCAATGATGAAATTTTCTCAAATTGACCAAAACAATTCGACTGGATCAAATTCCAGTTTTCTATCGGTAAATATATAGTCTCGGTAAAAAACTGAACTTCTAAGCATTTGAATACGTTACTATTTCTGTTAGTTAGACGACACGCAAACTAATCATTGTCTTCAACATTTTAGATATGTGAGCACGATACAAATGAGACTATCGTATGTCATTCACCTAATGTCACAGAATTGGTCAATAAAAATTTAATTCTACCATTGGATTTGAATATTTCATTTATTCTCGATAATGTACCTTCACCATCAAATTTATCGACATTAACAATTGTAAACGATCCTATTTATTTCCCATTTGAAACCTCACCAAAATTGATTAATATTGACACTGAGAAACATTTACTTATTAAGGTATAAGAAATTTTGGATTTTTAAATATTGATAATGCAATAGTAGTACTTTGTTTCTCTAGGGTGCCTCTTTGGCGTCAACACATTCAATGGATCAACTAAAAATTTATATGGGAGATCTAAATAAGACGTGTATACCGTTAAACTTAACCGAAACACAACTACTATGTTCATTGTCAAAGTTCATTATTTTAACAAACGAACAAATATATGATGTCATGGTATGTGACAAACTATTCGCGTTGTGTGCACCAATTACATATTTTACAAGCATTTTTTTATTAGATTCGTGTGGGAAATAACCTGACCTATAATATTGGTCAAATTTTGATAAGAAATCAAACAGCAGCCACAATTGAAGAACAAAAGTCACTGACTGAACATTATCGTTCAAATTCAAATCAATTTAGTCCTTGGATAGTTGCGGCATTGATCCTCTTGACATCAGTCACCATATTATTATTAATCTTTGGGTTCGTTGTTTATGTACGACAAAAAATAAGAAGGAATCTTACACAACATCGTCCACCAGCATATTATAAGACCGTGTGGAATGAGTTAGGAAAAAAACTGCATGTTAATTCAAAATCATTACGAATTGGAGATAAAGTGGGAGCTGGTAAGTCAGCATATCACCATTAATACATCTTGAATCACAGTTAATTTTTTACTATTTCACAGGTTGTTTTGGCGATGTATACAAAGGTCGTTTACAAACAAAAAGTGGTAATGAATCAGTGGATGTTGCTGTTAAAGTTTTGCGAGGTAAGAAACACAAAACTTATAATACTATCAATGTTTTATCTAATAACAAGGTTACTCATTGTTTATTTAGATCAAAATGTTGCTACTATCCACGATTTCTTATCCGAAGCTAATCGAATGAAATCATTTAAACATCCCAATGTTTTATCATTAATTGGTGTTTGTTGGGATCCTATTCGAAAAGCGATGGTGATATTACCGTATATGATAAATGGTGATTTACACTCTTATATTATCGATGAGAAAAATCGTCCAACTGTTCGACAACTAATCCAATGGGGTATACAAGTAGCAGATGGAATGACTTATTTGTCTGAATTAAAATTCGTTCATCGGGATTTAGCTACACGTAACTGTATGTTAGATGATCATCTCATATGTCGAATATCGGATTTTGGTCTTAGTCGAGATGTTATTGATCGTGATTATTATATAATTAAAAATGATGATAAAGATAACAGTGATAAAAGTGTAACTAAACCTCTACGGCGCCTTCCAATCAGGTGGCTAAGTCCGGAATCAATTGAATTATCGAAATATACGATACAATCAGATGTGGTGAGTTCAGATTTTTAAGCGAATCGAAGTAGAATGTTTTAAGTTCTTTTTCTAGTGGTCATTTGGGGTGCTGCTGTGGGAACTGCTTTCTCGTGGAAAAACGCCGTACACAGGCGTCGATAACCAAGACATCTATTCCTATATCAGAAATGGATATCGATTACCTCAACCTCCGTATTGTCCACAATTACTCTATACATCAGTAATGTGTCGTTGCTGGCAATGGGATCCATTACAGAGGCCAACATTTTCACAATTAGCTCACGAAATTCGCACCATTCTTCACACATTAGAAAAACGAATTGATCCTCAACAACAAGAAAAAACGTCAAAATTATCATTTTCATCAGTGCATGGAGAAGAAGCAGGCGAATTGCCAAAACGTATTTCAACCGATTCTTATGTGAGTTCAAACGGTGGCGAATATATTCTAACACCAAGACCAGAAAGTATGCAATTACTGTCAGATGAAACAAAAGAAACATTACAGGAACATTATCTAGAAGGAAATTATGATTCAACAGAAATGATAAATGCTGATGTTTTTAGTACAACACGTTTATTACCTAGATACGTTGAAACAAGTATTACGGATGTGTGAAACGAGGAAAAATATACTCAAATAATAATGAATGCATCAGAATCTTAGAGTTTGCTGTATGCGTTGATTCTTCTAATTCCATAAAATAAATACAATTTTTATTTTAACTCGTGTAATATAACCCAGTGTTGATTAATTTTCCTGTATATGATTGTGATAGTTTTTCATTGTGATGCTTTTTTATTTGTTTTTGTAGAAGTTCATCAATACTTCTACTCGCTTTTTAGCAGTAGATCTTGTGTATATTGATAAGTTTAATAAATCTTCTATTTTTTCATACCAATTACACTTTATTCGTTATGATTTATTCTTTAACGATATTGTCAAACAAATAAACAATGGATCTACCAGTTTAACATAATTAACTGATATAAGTCGATCTTTGCATTTCATTTTCATAGTTGTATGTCGATTACTGTTGGTGCAGATGATGAGTCTCTTATTACTACTAAGATGAGCTATGTCAATTGCTTAAGGTCAGCAATAGCTTATAGTTGTAATTTAGCTCGACTCTTTTCTGTTTTCTAAGTTAGTCCTGTCGTTGTCAAGATTTGTTTATCGGATTTTTATTTTAACTATGAGTAGAGTTGATTCAGACAGTTTTGTCATTAACATCAAATACAAAAACCACACAGACATAGAACACATGTAAAAAGATCTTTGTGCTTACAATATTCAGGCAAAGATTAAGAATAGAAGTACATCATAATAATAGTAACAGTAATCAATATTGTTGGTATAAACTAGAAAGAGCAATAACGATGGACTACACTTATTGAATTTTGTATAAGTTACTAGTACAAACAACTTGAAGACAGAAACATTATATGTAACATTTCTTCCCACTCATCGGTTTTTGCAACTTTTAATTATCCAATGACTTATGGTGATATTTCTAATCACTCGTAGATTTCACATTAAACATAAAATATTATTTTTCTTCAGATACTACAATAACTCGTTTTATATTCATTATTCTCTTTTTTTAGTCACACTGGCGCTATAATGCCAACTATATGATAATAGAACACATGTGTGTAAAATAGTTATATACTACTTATTCGTTGTCTAGTGGTATTACACCAGCACGAAAATCAAATGTTTTATTGAAACTATGGTATATTATTCATCAAATAATACTCATCACAATACTGTGAATTACACATATTTAAACAATTAATTCATAATTGAATTTTAAATAGTACATTGTTGATAGCGCACATGTGATTTTGAATATTATTTATTGACGAATAAAGTAAATAATAGATGTTCGCTTACCAAATGACATTTATCTGTAGATCAAAATCTTTTTTATTTCAGATGCATAGGTTTCATTCAACTATCTTTCAAAACTGATACATTAGTTTGTTCAGAAAGTAACAATTATTTATTAATCATACAACCATCTCTGAAAGTATCTAAATCTAGTGAAGGAGAATATTTTGAGATCTGAAGTTATTACGAACTGTTGAACGTATTGAATTGTTATCTATTAATTAATTAATGTTACATTCCATACAACATTAGTTTGTTTGATACATATACGATTTCAAGACATGAAATTAAATCACTGACTAATTCATAAATCTACTCCGAAAGCTTTTGGTCGCATTATTCTTCGGTGTAGTACTTGCTATATTAAAGACTTTATTTTGACCTATAGCGATCATTGGGCTAAGCGAGATCTCAATTCTGCATAAGAAAAATCTGCTCTAGTAATTTATTGATACAAAACTAAAAAAAGTAGAAAAAGCTTTGTTTCATCATAAGATATTCTTTGAAACGTGTTGATAAATTATAAATTAGTCGTTTTGGGCAGATCATCCCATCGGTTATTCATACTCATACATATAAAAATAATTACGACATGCCTTTTTCTGATGACTACAATATTTTATGACTATATAATTATGATGCTGATATGATATTCGAATGATTGATAATAACTAAGTATGAAATTACTCTGTAGAATTGGTAGAAAAGAATAAATAAAGCAGAATTTCGATTACGATGTTTTTCGAATGCGATGCTGAAATTCCAATAACATTTCTCTTTCTTCGATCATTGTCATTGTCTGAAGTGAATTATAGAGAAAAAAGCAGATGTTACGTGTTCCATACATGTTCTATATGTTATACTGATTACACTTACCCAATTGTAAAATACTGATAAACCCACAGATATTTCGCTAACTCGTAGTAAATCATAATTTCGTAAAATTGCTTTTGCTTCTCGAGCTTTATCCATTGGTATTTCCAATGGATTTAATTCATAACATCTTCTTTTAACACTATTTCGTCCTAATCGACCAAGAAGAGCTTGTATTTGAGACCAACGCTAGAATGAATATTAAACTCTTACAACTTCAACAATTCACCTGGCTGTCTTAACCTGTAAATCTTTATTCGAATAGCCCAAAAGTAAAAATGTTGCTTTCATCACTGTTGAGATTTCTTCTGGTGGCTTTGCATAACTATGTAATTCAGCTATCGTTGCTTGAGTTAGTCTTAATATTTTGTTTCTACAAAAATAAAAGAGATTCGTTAAAATGGTCAAAAATCGTCATATGGATAATAGCGACAGTTTGAAAATATTCCCATCACGTAATATGGTAACTCTTCAGATCTTTAATTTTTCAGAGTAGGGTATACAATGAAGACAATCATAAGTCTCTTTTTATCATAGGATACATGTGAACTGATTCTTTTATCGTGAGAAATTTTTGTTAGACATTGTGTTTGACTTAATAATTCGCAACAGCATGTATTCCAACTAGAATATTCGATTTGTACATATCATACTTTATTTTATTCTTAGTTTTTACTTTTTACATCGAACTACTAGATTTTCTCATTCATTTCAGAAAGATTTCAGGATATTGGTGAACTACAATACAAAGTTTTTGTGCGAGTTAAAGTACGAATTTCTCAGATATAAAAATTCATGGGTTTTTATGTGACGGGATAGGATCGGACAAAAGAGATTATTCTATGGAACCCACTCATCTTATGCGAAGCTCTGGCAGTGTGAACTGAATTTGTGAATTTTGTAAAATGCTAGCTATAAAAAATAGATGTGACTACATTAGAGGTAATCGTTTGTATTTCAAAAACATGTTATCAATATCTTTCCAGAATAAGGTACAGAATAAAATGTAAATAGGCTTCCTTACCTCATTTGTTCGATTTTTATCAATTGCCTAAGTACTTCTAATGCATGTTCGTATTCATGTTTTAATTCTTGTGTGAAATTATTGTCTTTCACTTGCTGAATACCTTTTTCCAAATGTTCGATTGTTCTCTGATCGATTGCAAATAGAAGCTCTAAATTGCAGTTTGATACATTGTACTTACAGAATATACGTAACCGTTTGACGATGAGGTACCTTGTCGACTTTTGTCCAAATTGGCGGCAGCGACAGTGGCCTCATTTATGAGGGTACTTGATGTCGACTGCTTTCTGGGTGACACAGGAACTGGTGATGCGAGAACTGGTGTCGCAGGAACTTGTGGGGTATAAAATGGTGACGTTGAAAGACGTGGTTGTAGTGTTGAAGGAGTGGGGGAAGAAAGAGGCATAGCGTCATCACTATGTATTGACGGTTGACGGTTAGCAGAATTGGACTCTCGAACTTCATAGGATTTAAATCCGTTAGTTGGATTTGGCCTTATTCTTTCCTTGATAATATCTTCTACTGAAAATAACATAGTATTAATTGAAATTTGATCTGATGCACTGGGTGTGTAAATATTACATACGTAAAAAGTAGATCAACGTCATTAATGCTACCAAGGATAAAATGATAAGAAACGCAGCAAGTGCCTGACCAAATGCACCTAAAAATTAATCTTACAAACTCAATAGATCTTTGAAACTGAAGGACTAACTACTCACTTCTTGACTGAGAAGCGTAGCAGCTAATAACACCTATCAAGAAGCTAAATTCCACAATGAGAATAACAATGACTGCAACTAAATGAAATTTTTTTAATAATTTCTCTAAACAAAAACAAGAAATAAAATGAAGAATAATTGAGAAGGAACAGAGCGAATACGAAAGAAAACAAATACAAACAAACAGAAGAGTCTGACTAAAAAGTGTAGATCGCACAGAAACTTGCTAATGATTATAATAAGTGGGGGTTGAGGCGAAATAGTTTGAGTCTGTCCTACGACTGAAAGCTGAGGGAAAAAACTGGAAAGAATAACTACTAGTGGAAAGTGAATGTCAATTAAACTCGTTGGAAACCCTGTACGGACAGTAAAAATTGAAGACACCCACAGACAGCACACAAACATCCTATGTCGGCGTTTGGGTTTCTGTAGGGTGCCTGTGTGCTGTTTGTGGACATCTTCATGTTTTATCATTATCGCCCTATATGAATCTTATTGCGGCATCGTGACTACTTACCATTCTAATTCAGATCCGAAGACTTTTGTGACAACAACAGATTTATCCTTATATGGTCAAATGGCTTCAAAGCCCCTCTCAGATTATAGTCAAGTAAATAATGTCTATCAGAGATTTGTTCGCACACTTTTTTCGATCTTATTCTTCTCTTTACTAAACAAATTTTCAATTTTGATAACTTGTGCTAACATCTGGTATAAAAAAACTTTAGATCTCTAGAAACAGTCGACCGTAATCATAGCCAAATTTCATGGGACCAGTGTTCCACGTGAAAGCACCCATGTAATTTCTCTTTCAAATACTTCGATTCAATAACCGAACAGAAATAGCTGGCATGAAATGGAATCGCATTCCATTCGATTAGTATTTTCTTAAAATAGATATTACTTGAAAATCTAATAGTTAAATTTTTCATCGTGTAACCTCTTCTGTTATCAGGGGGTAATCTATTGGTTTTATTGATTGCTACATTAAGTTCTTCCATTTAGTTAGACGAAGTAATCACAAATAATTTCTAGAAACATGTCTAGTCTCATATAAGGGTCGGTTTTATTTTATTTTGCTTTCTTGCTGAGAAAACTAATTTGTCCAATTAATAGCGAAAAATACGAAAATGCACTGGTGGATATCTACCATTAAACTCCAATTATTTTTCAAAATTAATGTAATATTCAGAATGAGTATCAAAAGCTGAGTCGAATGAGGTATGTCTATGAAGTTCGTTGCTCTGAGAAAAGCTGGATTTCTTTCCGATGGAGAAATTCAAAAAAGATTGAAGTTGTCGAATAGAATAGAATAAAGCCGATCGTTAACTTTTTTGCTACAGGTATGATTATGATGGAATAAAAAAAATTTTTTATCTTGCAACCAGAAAAACTAGATAAGTTTGCAAGATTCATAGCGAGCATTTTCCTGGTTCCACTCATGCCTTTTCAATTCATTGATTATTTCAAGTCCTAAAAAAATCCAAATCAACTTTTTATACTCAATTTTACATGAGGAATCGGAAGATAACAGTTTTAGAATTTTAAAAGCAGAATAAAACGGAAAGTTCAGCTTACTTGTAACAATAACGTTTTTAAATTGCCAGCACCTTACAAGTATCGCAAAAAGTTAATCACCAAATATTACCTTTTCTAGTGATATAGATAAACGCGGCAATGGATCCAAAAACAATGAGGGCGGAAGCTGTTGATAACGTAACACTGAGTATTGAAACACGTTTGTAATAAGTCATAATGGCTTTCTGTTCCATGTCATCGTTATAAGCTAAAAAACTGACAAAAAAAGTTTACATTTACTTCAGTTGTCCTGAATGTTTATCCTTAATTTAAAAACTTACATATGCCATGCTGAACCTATTTCAAAGAATTATTTTCTTACTACGGGTAGTTTCCTCACTTGTTGTGGTTGAAAAATGAAACGTTTTTTCAAATTTTCAAGTTTGGTAGATATTCTGATAGAGTTAAGTGTCTTATACAAAGACGGATAAGACATCCCGACTCTCAAAAACGTTTCTCTATAAGTTAATAGTTTTTAAAGTTTATTTCTAACGAAAACAATTCATTAGTACTTTTGAAGATATGTGCAAGAGAATAAAATAATCTCCAATTACATAGGGAATAATATTTTTTCTAAAATGAGTCTACTTTCTACTAATGGATTTATCGGTCAGACATTATCGACATTTTGCCTAGAATTCTCAAAAAATGACTTTAAATCAACGTTTTTGACCTTGAATAAACGTTACTTCAGAAAAGAGGGATATCTTTAAGTTTATTGTTTATTAGAAAAAAGATTTCTAACGAGTATCCATGTCTAGAATATTCATTAAGTCTTTCTTGTGTGATAGCTCTTCGTTCGACATACCCAAACAGGTTCTGGATTAGATTTTTATTTCAAATCTGTCATTGCAGTTCGTAGACCAAGAAATAGAATTATTTCTCATTACTTATCATCTCAGAGTATAACTTTCAAATCTATAAATTCTTATTAAAATATTATATGTTTTTACAACTTTTCGAAATTTGTTCATTTAATACATGAACAAAAAGACTTGTTTTTTGCAGTTAGAACCACGTCTGTCGAGAGGAGAAGAAAAAGTCAAAATGAAAAGAAAACCAAAGAACAATTGCATAGAACTCTAATAACATATAATACTATTACTACTAAAAAAATCTGTTAAATTTATTTTCATAGTTGAAATATGAAGACACACATACACACTTTCACATTTGCAATCAATACCGGCCCAAAATGGAAAGAAAGTAGAAGATGGTAGTCTGGGAAACGGCTGTTTATTTTTCAAAAATGATATGGAGCACAAAAAACGAGACTAAGTACCAAAATGTGTACTACTGAAGAAAGAACATCAACAAAACTACCGTATACTTTTATTTTTGTGTATGTGATATGAAACATAAACTCTCCTCCAACAAGATAATGTATGATGATGATATAAATTTTATCTCTTTAGTCTTTCGTGACATCTGAAACAAAAACATACGATTTTTATTCCAATACTGACGTATAATCCTTTTGAAGCTACCAATATTCTGGAGACACAGTAGTAGGACACTACGATCATCCACTGCATCAGAATGATGTTCCATTCTCAAGTTATAAGGTTCTATTATAGTAGAGAAAATCTTAGGTGTTTTCTTTACTGTGTTCTTCTGTTGTTGTGTCTACTAAATTCTCTTGCATTTAGAATCATACCTACTCTCTTTGTTTGAAATGTGTTAGAGAGCTGAAACTTTCAGAGTAATCAGTGCTTGCATAGCCCTACCTGGTGTAAAAATTTCAAGTGGATACGAGTTAATTTGGCCGAGTTATGAATTTTTCTATTTTTCTCGATTTCCTCTGAGAAAAACAGAAAAACTGCTCTAATTTTTGAAGGAAGGGTCATGGGCAAAAATCCTTTTATACTTTTTACTATCTCGATATATGCTATCGATCGGCATATGTTCGAAGAAAAACTGAGGGGGACACTTCCACAGGTTCCTTCGTAAAATACTTGCGGGATTGTGTTAAAGATATTTGTTTTTCTTTTTTATTTCAGAAACCTAAAAATGAACGAACTTAACACTTGTTGTACAAAATTAATTTCAACAAAAATAATATAACTCAATCGAAGCTTTTATGCTTTTTAAAAGTTCAGTGACAATAGCGATCGTTTATTCGTTCAATCGTACATATCTAGTCTTCTTAATCATTTCAGCTGTAATACAATAGCACTCTAAATCATATTCAAAATTTGTCATTTTATATCCTTTCTCTTACGTATTCAGACTCTAGTTCTGAGTTTTTCTTTTAGTACAATTATCTATTCATCGTGCTCCTCTCTTTCTCTCCGTTACTGTAGAATAAAGCGGGTGACCAAGAAATAATAACACACCTTTATTCTCTTTTTTCCGGGCACTTAACTGCGGTTTTAAAATTTTATTCTAGGCTCATTCGATAGAGAATTTTCTGCTTTACAAAAGCTCATTACCTTCTTTTCTTACATATTATTTTATAGGGCGGGTCAAATTTTTTTTCGATGTTTTACCTATCCTAGCGGTGTTCTACGGGTCGTTTTAAGAAACTTTGCCCAAGGAACTATAGCTCTATCGTGAAAATCGAGCCTCCGTATTTTTGCGAGTAGGTATCCCCGCAAAAATCCATATTTGGCATACATTTAAATCAATATTTCAAAAACTATTGATCCGATCAAATCGCTTAGACACGCGTTGGAAAGCTGAGCTCAAGCTGACCAATT